ATTTTCCCAATTGTCCCACACACTTCACTTCCCTAAGCTGGCATTTGCCCTATGGAGGGAAACACAGAGGATCATATAGGGCAGGCATGGACAAACTTTGGTCAGAAATCCCAGCCAACTTAACAGATGTTAGGAATTGTAGGAGTTGAAGTCCAAAACACCCTTGCCTGAGATAGGGGAAAAGGGTCTGTATGACCCTCCACTGTTTATATTGGGTATTGTTGATTGGATTTGCAGATCGACTGCCCAGACGTTGGTGTCTTCCCACATATGTTGTGTAGGAAACTGTATGTTTTGCTCTGCAGGACAAATAAAAGATTGGAAGGACAATTCTGATCAGTTACATTTCGTTTATTGCTCATAATGCTTAGGTCATCATGATGTTCATTTTCCTTACGTTGTAGCAAGCTGACCTAAGCATTATGAACAAATCTTACCAAGAATACCCTGTGAAAGGTTTTACTTAGGGCTGCCAAAGCTCACAAATAATTTGAATGCACATAACTGCGGTGACGCAGTGGGTTAAACCGCTGAGCTGCTGAGTTTGTTGACAGAAAGGTCACAGGCTGAAATTGGGTGAGCACCTTGAGTTTCTGCTGTCAGCCCCAGCTTCTGCCAACCTAGCAGTTCGAAAACATGCAAATGTGAGTAGATCAATAGGTACTGCTCCAGTGGGAAGGTAACGGCACTCCATGCAGTCATTCTGGCCACATGACCTTGGAGGTGTCTACAGACAACGCCGGCTCTTGGTCAGTAGTAATTTAAAGCAGTTATTTATTTATTTTGAACATTTTTACCACACCCTTCTCAACCCCTAGGGGGACTCAGGGCGGCTTCAATGCAGCATCATAAAATACAAAATAGCAAATTTAATAATTAAAAACATGAACATTAAGAAATAAAGATTAAACAGTATACTTATGATCCATTTAACTATTGCCAGTCTGGTGGCTATTTATCTATCCATATACGAATGATTACTCTGCTTAACTTATCCAAATTCACTTCCAAGCCATAGTCAAACATTATCAATAGTCATTTAACCTAATTGCCCGAAGGCCTGGTCCCACAACCATGTTTTTACCTTCCTTCTAAAGGTGAGGAGGGATGATGATGACCTAATTTTCCTGGGAAGCGAATTCCACAGGCGGGAGGCCACCACCGAGAAGGCCCTGTCCCTCGTCCCTGCCAAACGTGTTTGAGACAAAGGTGGGGCTGAGAGCAGGGCCTCCCCAGAAGATCTTAAGCTCTGAGGTGGGACGTTGAAGGAGATACGTTTGGACAGGTACGCTGGACCAGAGCCGTATAGAATTTTATAGGTCAAGACCAGCACTTTGAATTGTGCTTGGAATTGGATCAGCAGCCAATGGAGCGGACACCACGTGGTGGTGGTGGTGGTATGCTCCTTGTATGATGCTCCGGTGAGTAATCTAGCTGGCGCCCTTTGGACTAATTACAGTTTCCAAACAGTCTTCAAAGGCAACCCCATGTAGAGTGCGTTGCAGTAATCTATTCAGGATGTGACAAGAGCATGGACCACTGTGGCCAGATCCAGCTTCCCAAGGTACGGGCGCAGCTGGTGCACAAGTTTTAACTGTGCAAAAGCTCTCCCGGCCACCACCGAGACCTGGGATTTCAGGCTCAGCGATGAGTCCAGGATCACTCCCAAGCTGCGAACCTGCGTCTTCATGTGGAGTGTAACCTCATCCAACACAGGCTGTAACCCTATGCCCTGTTCGGCCTTACGACTGACAAGTAGGACCTCTGTCTTGTCTGGATTCAATTTCAATTGGTTAGCTCTCATCCGGCCCGACACAGCAACCAAGCACCAGTTCAAGGTTTGGACAGCCTCCTTGGCTACTAACTAGCTGTGCCACAGATAGATAAATAGAAAGATATTGTGTGTATATGTCTGTATGTACCTTGGGAAGTTTGACTTAGCCACGGTGGGCCACGCTCTTGTTACATCCCAATTAGATTACTGCAACGCACTCTACATGGGGCTGACTTTGAAGACTGCTCGGATACTTCAACTAGTCCAACAGTTGGCAGCCAGGTTGCACGCCAGAGTGGCGTACAGGGAGCATACAACTCCTGTTACATCAGCTCCACTGGCTGCCAATCCGCTATTGAACACAATTCAAAGTGCTGCTTGTAACCTTTAAAGCTCTAGATGGTTCTGGCCCAGACTATATGTCCAAATGTATCTCCTGCTACGAACATCATGAAGTTTAGGATCATCTGGAGAGGCCCTGCTCTCGATCCCACCGCCGTTGCAAATGTGATTGGTGGAGATGAGAGACAGGGCCTTCTCAACAGTGGCCCCCGTCTGTGGAATTTCCTCCCCAAAGACATCAGACTGGCCACCTCCCTCCTGTCCTTTAGAAGGAAACTCAAGACTTGGCTGTGGGACCTTGCATTTGACCATTGAACAGCGGCTTGTATGAAGAAGACATAAGCAATTTCGAAGTGACAATGAATTGAACCGAACCCGGAGTTTAATTGGCATGTTTTAACAACTGTTTATTTAATGTTTTGTTTTAATGAATTTGTTGATGGTTTTCATCATTATGATGGCACCGAATTGTGTTTGCTTTGAGGCCACCCAGGGATGAGAAGGGTGGGGTACAAGTATATGAAATAAATAAATACATACACAGAGACGACCCTAGGTAATTTTCAACGGTAAGGAAACAGTATTTTGCCCCCCCCCCCAACCAAACATTGATATATATTTTCTGTTCGTTGTGGTAGTTCTGTGTGCCATATTTGGTTCAATTCCATCATTGGTGGAGTTCAGAATGCTCTTTGATTGTAGGTGAACTATACATCCCAGTAACTACAACTCGCATATGTCAAGGTCTATTTTCCCCCAAGAGCGCCTCAAGAGTGCCCCTGGGAAAAATCAACTCTACTACAAATGCTTACTTTGCGTAATGGGTTGAGCCGCCCCTGTACATACACGTATATCTATATATATATGTATGCTTATAAGACTTTCTGCTGTTAGCCCCAGCTTCTGCCAACCTAGCAGTTCGAAGACATGCAAATGTGAGTAGATCCACATGCCTCCGGACCCGAAGCGGGCTAGGTGCAGTGGCTCTGCCCCTTGGACCACCCGCGGATTGGGGAAAGGAGAGGAGGCGGGTGGAGCTGGTCATGGGAGCCGGTCATGGGAAGGGATCGAACGCAGAGAACGATTGAGCACAGACTCTGCTCGCGCACCTGGTGGCTGGATGGAGCAGGAACGAGAGGGGCTAGGCGAGGCTCCAGGGTCCAGCCCCTTTGGGAAGAGGATCACCCGGCAGTGAGGCAAGAAAGCCGAGGCTCCCCCCGGACTGCTAGGGCTGTTGTGAGCTGAGGGGGCGCTCCTCAAGTGGCGGTTGAGGGGCATTTACAGAGGCGCCTCTGCGCCCCTGGCAAAAAAAGTGTTCTGCGACCGCTTACTTTGCGTAATGGATGAGCCGCCCCTGCCTATGACCACAGCACCACACCAGAGTATAAGCATGTAGCCGGGGGGGGGCTTGAGGGGCTTCAGCCCCCCCGAAATTCTCATGGTGGTTTGCGAAAAGGCCTTACTGTTTAAACTATCATGTTTATTCATATCATGATCTGATCACCATACTCAATATTTCCCATATGCATGGGGGTATTGGGGTAACAATATAAAAGATTTGCTAGGGTAGACCCTCTTTCACGCAGACTCAGACCCCCCCGAAACAAACTCAGCCCCCCCCCTCGAATTGAAATCCTGGCAACGGGCCTGCTCCGGTGTGAAGGTAACGGTGCTCTATGCAGTCATGCCGGCCACATGACCTTGAAGGGCCTGCGGACAACGCCAGCTCTTTGGCTTAGAAATGGAGATGAGCACCACACCCAGAGTCAGACATGACTGGACTTCATGTCAGGGGAAAACGTTTACCTTTTATAAGACTTTCAAACCAGGAACAGAAAAAAAATCAAAAATTTTTTACATAGCGCTATAGCAGTGGTTCTCAACCTGGGGGTTGGGACCCCTGAAGGGGTCACGAGGGGGTGTCAGAGGGGTCGCCAAAGACCATCACAGACAGTATTTTCTGTTGGTCATGGGAGTTCTGTGTGGGAAGTTTGGCCTAATTCTATCGTTGGTGGGCTTCAGAATGCTCTTTGGTAGTAGGTGAACTATAAATCCCAGCAACTACAACTCCCCAATATCAAGGTCTATTTTCCCTGAACTTCACCAGTGTTCACATTTGGGCATATTGAATATTCGTGCCAAGTTTGATCCAGATCCATCATTGTTTGAGTCCACAGTGCTCTCTGGATGTAGGTGAACTACAACTCCAAAACTCAAGGTCAATGTCCACCAAACCCTTCCAGTATTTTCTGTTGGTCATGGGAGTTCTTTGTGCCAAGTCTGGCCCAATTCTATCATTGATAGGGGTCAGAATGCTTTGATTGTAGGTGAACTATAAATCCCAGCAACTACAACTCTCAAATGACAAAATCAACCCCCCACAACCCCACTAGTATTCAAATTTGGGTGTATGAATGAAAATACATCCTGCATATCAGATATTTACATAACGATTCATAACAGTAGCAAAATGACAGTTGTGAAGTAGCAACGAAAATAATGTTATGGTTGGGGGTCACCACAACATGAGGAACTCTATTAAGGGGTCGCGGCATTAGGAACGTTGAGGACCACTGCGCTATAGACAGAGGTCTGGGAACTGGAGCTGCAATCCCCACTCAGGTTTGGAAACCTACTGGATGATCTTGGGCGAGTCACACTCTCTCAGCCTCAGAGGAAGGCAGTGGCCATACTCCATCTTAAGAAATCCTGGGGTAGGTTCGTTTGGGGGTTCCCCATGGGTGAGAAAGGACTTGGAGTTCCCCAATGACAACAAGAACAGCAGCAGAGATTGGTGGGGGCTCTCTACTCTCCCCCCCCAAATGTACGCGTCCCCTTTAAGAGGCGGTCCCAGCCCTCCACGTGCCGCGGCTGAGTGACGGCCACACATAAACAGAGCGGCAGAAAGGAAGCCGCGCTTGACCGATAATAACCTCCTCGGCGCAGCGCCGGCGGGATCTATATAAGGCGCTCCGGGTCCGGGACTGGCCCTGGTTTGGCCCCAGCCGCGTCGGTGGGAGCCACAAAGGAAGCCGGAGGAGCCCCCGATCGAGTGGCTCCCCGATCTACTCCGGGAGATCTTTCCAATTCCTGGCCGGAGGGAGAGAAAAATCGCCTCCCCATCAAACTGGCGAGGAGGTAATCATAACAACAACAACAATAACAACAGGGTGGAGGGGGGCAAACTTGGGGAGGAGAGTCAGAAGGGGGTTATTTCTTCTCACCCTCTTTGTCCCACGGGTGGATCTTTGTGTGCTGAGAACAAAAAGAGACCAGAGGATCTCTGAGCGTGTGCAGAGTGCTTTCTCCTGCCTGCCCCGTCAATTGTTTGTCTTCTTAGCTCCAGGCAGGGAAATGAGGGAGAATTGAGTCGTTGGCAAGGTGTCCCAAGGCTTTTCTGACCCAATTTGGGGTCATCGGGATTCGAACCCGGGGTCAAGAGTGGCTTGAGCCCCAAAGGTTGGGGGGTTGTTTGGATGGGAGTTACTGGAAAGGCGGAGGAGGGGAAAACACACTCCTTTGTCCTTTCTGGCTTGGAAAGGACAAAGAAGAAGGCGGTGTTGGGTTAGGAAAGGGAACGTTTGGGGAGCTGTCCCAGCCCCACAGCTCAGTGCTATGGAAATCCTATAGTTCTCCATCACCTTTAGCCTTCTCTGCCCAACTCCCAGGGACAACTCCTAGGCTACAACTCCAAGGAACCCAACAGCATTGAGTCTTGGCAATGAAAAAGTGGAGTCAAGCTGCATTGGTTCTCTAGTGGAGATGGAGGAATTGCCCACCAAAGGAAAAGCACACATCCCTCAGGACTCTTCTTGTCCAGCTTCCCCCAAATGTCTCTGTGGTGTACCCACAAGCTTCATTGACATTGAACATTAAAGATTGGGCATGTAAAAGAAAGGGAAGAAAGACATACAGAAAGTATTGAGACACAAAGCAGAGGAAAGCGCCTTTTGTTCTTTTTCTCTCTCACACACTTTTCTCTCTCTCTCTCATACACACACATTTTCCTTCCTTCCTCTCTCTACTGTTTCCTTCCTTCCTCTGTACACAGTTTTCTTCCTTTTCTTCCTTCCTTCCTCTCTCTCTGTCTCTCAAAAACACTTTTCTTCCTTCCTTCCTTCCTTTCTCTTTCACACATTGTTCCCTTCCTTCCTTCCTCTCACACCTTTTCTCTCTCTCTCTCTCTCTCTCACACACACTTCTTCTTCTTCTTCTTCTTCTCCTTCCTTCCTTCCTTCCTTCCTTCCTTCCTTCCTTCCTTCCTTCCTTCCTCCCTTTCTTCCTTCCTTCCTTCCTTCCTTCCTTCCTGTTTACACACTTTTCTTACTTTTCTTCCTTCCTTTCTCTCTCTCTCTCACACACTTCTCTCTCACACACACACACACACACCTTCCTTCCTTCCTCTCTCACACATAGTTTTCTTCCTTCCTTCCTTCCTTCCTCTTTACACACTTTTCTTCCTTTTCTTCCTTCCTACCTTTCTCTCACACACTTTTCTTCCTTTCTCTCTCACACACACTTCTCTCTCTCTCTCACACACACACACACACTTTCCTTCTTTCCTTCCTTCCTTCTTCTCTCACACATTGTTCTCTTCCTTTCCTTCCTTTCTCTCACACACTTTTCTTCCTTTCTCTCACACACCTCTCTCTCTCGCACACTCATTCACTTTTCTTCCTTCCTTCCTTCCTCTCTCACACATTGTTCTTTTCCTTCCTTCCGTCCTCTCTCACACACACTTTTCTTTTCCTTCCTTCCTTCCTTCTTTCTGTCTTTCACACACTTTTCTTTCTTTTCTTCCTTCCATCCTTTCTCTCTCACACACTTTTCTTTTCTTCCCTCCTCCCTCTTTCCTTCCTTCCTCACACACTTCTTTCTTTTCTTCCTTCTTTCCTTTTTCCCTCTCTCTCTCTCTCACACACATATACACACACACTTTTCTAATCATCATCACCACCATCATCATCACTATCATCTTTATTTGTTTCCTGCCCCATCTCCCCAAGGGGACTCGGAGTAGCTCTAAACAACCCAAACAATAAACAGTAATAAGATTAACAATCTCTTTAAAATTAGATGGGCAAAATAACAATATAAAATCAATATGGAAGTAAAAGAAGACTTATTAAATAAGGTGTGATTATGTTACCAGTATATAAAACATCTTCCTTCCTTCCTTTCTCACACTTGTCTTCCTTCCTTTCTGTCACACACTTTTCTTTCTTTCTTTCTTTCTTTCTTTCTTTCTTTCTTTCTTTCTTTCTTTCTTTCTTTCTTTCTCTATCTCTCACAAATACTTTTTTCCTCTGCTGCTGCTTTCTCGGAAAGCGCCTCCAGTTGGGGCTGCTGAGACGAGGCGCAAGATGTACTGACAGAAAAAAGGCACAAGACAAAAAACAAACCCACACAGCTCCAAGTTGCACGAAATGACCGAGAGTAACCCCGGCTTGGAAGGAGAGCTTAATGAAAGCCAGCAGCCGGGCAAATGCCTGTATGCCTGTCTGTGGAGGTCTTTGCCAGGCTAGGGCTTTACTTTAAGCTGTATGTATGCAAGCAAAGCCACCTCTGGCTAGTCCTTGCCTAAGAAAACCCTTGGAAATCCACGGGGTCACCGTAAGGTGATGTGAAGGTGTACGAACACACATGTATGTGCAGTCAGGCTTCCATATGTGTAAGGTTGTAAGGATACATTGGGTTGCTGTGAGTTTTCTGGGCTATATGGCCATGTTCCAGAAGCATTCCCTCCTGACATTTTGCCCACATCTATGGCAGGCATCCTCAGAGGTTGTGAGGTCTGTTAGAAACTAGGTAAGTGGGGTTTATATATCTGTGGAATGTCCAGGGTGGGAGAAAGAACTCTTGTCTGCTTGAGGCAAGTGTGAATGTTGCAATTGGCCAACTTGATTAGCATTGAATAGCCTTGCAGCTTCAAAGCCTGGCTGCTTCCTGCCTGGGGGAATCCTTTATTGGGAGGTGTTAGTTGGGAGATTGTTTCCTGTCTGGAATTCCACTGTTTTCTGAGTGTTGTTCTTTATTTACTGTTTTGATTTTAGAGTTTTTGAATACGGCCATACAGCCTGGAAAATGTATTGTCGAAGGCTTTCATGGCCGGAATCACTGGGTTGTTGTAGGTTTTTTCGGGGTATATGGCCATGTTCTAGAGGCATTTTCTCCTGATGTTTTGTGTGCTCCTATGGCAAGCATCCTCAGAGGTAGTGAGGTCTGTTGGAAGTAGGAAAATGGGTTTATATATCTGTGGAATAACCAGGACAAAGATTCCTTTGTCCCACCCTGGTCTTTCCACAGATATATAAATCCATTTTCCTAGTTCCAACAGACCTCACTACCTCTGAGGATGCTTGCCATAGACGCAGGCGAAACATCAGGAGAAAATGCCTCTAGAACATGGCCATATAGTCCGAAAAAAACTACAACAACCCAGCCTGGAAAACTCACAGTAACCCAATGATTCCAGCCATGAAAGATTTTGACAACACAAGGACACATTGTTTGTATTTAGTGACAAAAATATCCTAAAGGCATCCAATCCTGGAACCAAATTTCAGGAAAAACCAAGAGCCCATTGTATGTTTGTTAGGGACAAAATAATAACATTATGTAACGAAATTTGAATTTTTTTCTGTTCCTGGTTTGAAAGTGTTATTTTCTGTTTAATTGTGTGGCACTTACTTTAAAAGTAGTTGTTATCCCCCCAAAACTTCATTTTTGTGGCTGCCACAGACTCGGTTGAATTGGTTGAGACTCAATTATGAGATATTCATTGAAAAACTACCAAAATGTGCTGCAGGATGTCCCACGAAAACAGAGTGTTTGCAGTTTAATAAAAGTTTTCCATGTTTTGATGACAGAACCAATTAGGAAACGGCATTTGTAACACAGGAACAGAATTGTGTTCCATATGTAATCAGTTCAATAGTGTACTTAACACATATGCATTTCAGTTACATAGTGTAATAATTACAACAATTATTTCTATCTCACCTTTCTCCCCATAGAGAGTCAAGGCATGTAACCGTCATATAACACAACCTAATAAACACTTTAAATAGGACAACATTTATTTCTTCAATTGTAAGACACAGTTTTTCAATGGTGAGATGCACCCTATTTTCGTACCACCAATCACTGACAAAAATACCTCTGCAATTCCTCGGTTTTGGGGATGTCTATATAGGATATTTATATAGGAAAATGGAAGAAATATAGTAAAAAAAAACCCAATTAAATATTTGTGAGTGGATATACAGTTAAAATACAATAAATACTATTTTAAAAAATATTTAAAGCTCACTATCCTCCATGTAGGCCAGGCATGGGCAAACTTCGGCCCTCCAGGTGGTTTGGATTACAACTGCAGATATATAGATGTGGATACATATTTTCATCCTGACATGTCAAGAAGTAGATATATCTTCATCTAGACGCAGAGGCGGCCCTGGGTAATTTTCAATGGTAAGCAAACAGTATTTTGGCGCCCCCGCCCAACCAATCACTGATATATATTTTCTGTTAGTCGTGGGAGTTCTATGTGTCATATTTGGTTCAATTCCATCATTGGTGGAGTTCAGAATGCTCTTTGATTGTAGGTGAACTATACATCCCAGTAACTACAACTCGCATATGTCAAGGTCTATTTTTCCCCAAGAGCACCCCTGGGCAAAATCAACTATACTGCAAATGCTTACTTTGCGTAATGGGTTGAGCCGCCCCTGTCAGTAGCAGAGTAGCAAAGCGCAAGGGCCGATGTCTTCACTGTATCAGGTTGTGATCCCCAAGTTGTGCCAGTTAGGGTATAGATAATAAATGACTAATAAATGAGTGTTGTTGAACAAGTCACACACTCTCAGCCAGAAAGGAAAGCAAAGGCAAGTCTCCTCTCCTGAACAAATCTTGCTAAGAGAACCCTCTGATGGGTTTACCTTAAGGCCTCCATGAATTAGAAACTGATTGAAAGCACACTGTTTTGAACTAGCAATCATATTATTCCAGTTTTAGGGAGCATCTTGTTACAGGAAGCCAGGCACTCTTGTGCTACAATTCTGTTTCTAAAATGGAAATTCTTTTATGTCGTCTTGCCAAGGTAAGAAATGATCTGCCAGTAACTACAATCAAACTTC